GCGGAGGGGGGCGCACACGGACGGGTATCAAACCCGGCTCAGCCAACAGACCCCAGACCGTCAGCACTGGCCACGGGCGCCTCTGCCAGGGAGCCGCGTCGTCAGCCCTCTCGCGGGCCCATCCCCTAACCCTCCGCCAGGGAGCCGGGTGGCTCGCGGGGGGCTGGAGTCAGGGCGAGGCTCCATGCTGGGAGCGGAGCTGGGGTCGCTATGCAGGTGGCCGGACAGAGCCTGCGTGGATCTCGCTGGCAGCACGCCAGGCGGCGCCCCGAGAGCAGGGCCTGGACACGCCGAGGGACCGGCCTGGACACGCAGGCACATGGCGGCTGCAGCGCCGCCGACCCCAGAGTGACCCCCCGGCGAGTTTGCCACCCACCTGCGCGAGGCAGCAGACACTGGCCTCCACCTGGCGGAGTTCGCTCGCCTGCAGGTCCAGCAGCTGGAGCACCTTGCCGGCCAGGTTGCTGACCTGGTAGGCCACGCTCGCCAAGGACTGGGTGCTGTACGCCATGGTCTACTCCAGGGCTCGCCGCTTGTCGGTGGCCTGCAACGGAAACAAAAACGGTTTGGGAGCCGGCGTGGCTGGGCTCCGCCCACGGAAGCAGCACGATGTAAGAAACCAGCCCGAGGAACCGGCCAGGCCTCTCAGAGAATCGCGAAGCCCAGGGCTGGAAGAGCCCTCGGGAGTCATGGAGCCCAGCCCCCCACCCAAAGCAGGACCGACCCCGACTCAGCCAGCCCAGCCGGGTCTTAAACACCTCCAGGGATGGAGATTCCACCCGCCCCAGGGTTTCTCTGCCCTTCTGCCCCCGGTCAGAGGAGTCGGGCCAGGCAGCAAGAGGGAGGAGGCCGAGGAGGCCAGTGTGCGTCTCCATGCAAAGGAAGAGCCGGCAGAAGGTGCAGGAGGGAAGACGACTTTCCCCAGGGATGAACCCAGGCTGGGGACTGGGTGGGCACAGACACCCCCTCCTCCCTGCACCGCCCAGCTGACATGCCTGGGGGCTGCCCTGGAGAAACGCCCAACAACCCTGTGAGATGTGCCCTTGGCCTGGGGAACTGATCTGCACCCGCCGCGCCCATGCACCCAGCCCATCAATCAGCCTCCAGCGGTGCAACAGCCTGGCTAGGGTGTCTGTGAATCCCTGCCCTCGCTGTGTGTGTCATAAGCCCTCTACTGTCACGGAAATTCCTCTTTAGTTCAAGGGTTAAATGCCCACTTGGTCCTTTCCCGCCATCACTTGGATGGTTCTGAGAGGCCGGAGTTTTGTCCAACCCAGCCGTGGATTTGTTCCTGTGTCCCCAGTTCCCTGGCCGGACTCCTTGGACAAAGTGCAAAGCGGGGAGGGGTCCTGGGTCCATCAGAGCTGAAGGAGGATGGCTCGTTGCTGGCAGGAGGTGGGGCGTGCGGGAAGCAGAGCCAAGTGGCTGTGCAGAGGAGCCTTTCGAGATGGCGACTTTCCACTGGCGTCGAGCTTAATTAGCCGTTTCCTTCTGCTTCCCGAACGCTCCGAGCTTCCTGTGGCTGGGT